GATTGTGTCACGGGATACTTAGTTTTCATAAAAGTATCAGGTAAGTAAACTCATCTAACAATAATGACCATATTTTGTACAAGTAAACTAAATTACCAATCTTCCGCCTTCTCGTAGCAACTATAACACTGTAGCTTAATAATAAACCTACGGACTATTGTTGCTAACATAAACCATTTTGACTATTGTATTGTTTCCAGTCTATTATTTTTTCTACAGAGTAACTGTTGCATCATCCCAGTTATTAGATCGTATCACTGGATGTTCATAACGCATGACTAAATACGTTTGACTGCTCATTCAGATAAGGAATCCACATTTTGTTGTTTTCCATTAAAGAAACCTGCATGAGAAATCTGTCGAGTTTATTTTATCTCTTCATGGTTGTGACCCTATCAACCATTGTAGCGCTTTATGAACATCAGTTGATACGATCCAATAACTGGGATGACGCAACGCACTTGGTGCGAAGAAAAGAACAGCGATGATATGGATAAGAAGATATTAAGAAGAACCGTCAGAATTCACCCACGGAGGAAGACGGTTCAACAAGTTATCACGCCACCATGTAGAGGAGCTCATTTCATCGACTGAGGAGAATCCGACTGTAACACTGCCCGTTCTACGTGTGAAACTCAAGACTGAATACGATAAAGAAGTATCTATCACAACTATCAGTAACTATTTAGAAGGGAAACTGATTACAATCAAAAAGACTCATCAATTACCAGTAACGATGAACTTACTGGATAATAAAGAGAAGAGGTAATACAAAGATCTGTTTTTGAGTCATTTCTTCCTAGATATGTTCAAAAGTTGCAGTGGTACGGGGCACTTGGACATGAGATTATCTGAATTGATGAAACCAACTTCAACGTACATTCTTCAAGAAATTATGGGCGTGCACCAAGAGGTCAAAGGTTTCGGATACCAGTGGCCAGTTCAAAAGGAAGAAATCTGTACATCATAGGTGCTATCAATGCCGATGGGTTGTTGAACTATATTCTGAAAAAAGGATCGTGCAACTCCGTATTGTGTCTGCAATGGTTGCAAACGCTAGTTGATCAATTATTGCAAGAAGAGCACAAATCATATGTGATTTTGTGTGACCACGCACCCTGTCCTTCTCAACTGGAGGATGGCATGTTTNGCATGTTTGGAAAGCATTGCTAGTGATGCCAAGTCTCATATCGCGAAGGATAATTGTCAGCATGTAACTAACCATGTTCGTGTACATTATCCGACAGATATCAAAATACATGATTTTTAATACATTTCATCTTTTTCTAATCATTGAACTTTTTTGTGTATGGGAGACATACGTCGGAAAGTTCTACCATTATTGGATTCGATAGGCTGGGCGCATTAGATAGTTCGTACACTTTAGGGCACATTTACAATTACAATGTGCGTTTGTCGATAATTTAATACAGAACCAGTCTCTCGGTAGGCAGTGTTTTCCG